CACGGCTCATACGCGGTTTTTCCGCGGGGTGTCGGGGTGCGGGGGCGGGCGGCGCGGCGTGGCGCTGCGAAGGTGTTGGCTTTCAAAAGCGGAAGCCGGACCGGCGATTTTCCAATTAAGTAAAACGGTAAAAGGCAGGCAGGAGATTCATCGGTAATTTATTCGGCGAACAAAGAACTTGAAACCCGAGCCAACTGCATATTTATGAGTGATCGTTCGAAATACGAGCATAGCTAAGTACGTAGTTGGGCCCGTCGTCCGTCCGACTCGGGAGGTCCGGTGCGTTTCGACCGGGCGCACACTGGATCCAGCCTTTGGAAGAAATCGGACATAAAATGTTTGTCAAAAAATATAAGGTTTTACGTTCATCTCGTCACAATTTTAATTTTAAGGGGTGCTTCTCGTAGAAAATTTTACGAGAAAACCGATAAAACTACTTTCAAAACATCAAAATTTTTTATTAATGAAGATGTGCGATTTAAAAGTTTCCAAATTTTGTCCAACTTCTTCCATTGATTCGATCCAATGTGCGGCGGAGCGCCACACCGATCATATCAAGCGCCATCACACCGCGGTCGACGTGCTCCGCGATTAGAGCTTTGATCGAGGCGCCAGTCTCGAACATGGAGAAGAGCAGGGGTGCAGAAAGTTCTTGGCCTCTCCCACTTTATAATTTGCCTTCCCCAAAATTTGCTGTTTTCCTATAATTGTGCCTCTGCATAAAACAACGCGCTATAAGCAGCTTCCTTCATCGCTAAAACCTTCATAAAACGCACAGTTTGCTTTGGCTTGACCAGCTATCTTCGCCGCAGATAACAACCAAGTAAGGTTTGAACCTAAGAATACAACTAAACGTACTCCACGGAGCGATTGTGGCCTACCCTACACGATTGAAGGCGCATCACAACTTCGATTCTCTCTTTTGTTCACGATGACCAATATAATCTTCTTATTTGATAGAAATTGAAATAAAGAATACAAAAAAAGAAACAAGGAATTGGATATTTTGCAGAAATTTTCCTTAATTACTGCAGTTTAATTATTTCTTAGCTTGAGTCGCTGTATTCGCCGTGAAAACGACTAAATAAGGTTTGAATCTAAGAATACAATGAGACGTACTCCACGGAGCGAATGTAGCTGACTTACACGATTGAAGGCGCATCACAACTTCGGTTCTCTCTTATGTTCACGATGACAAATAATCTCACTTTTCGATAGAAATTGAAAGAAATACGAAGAAAGAGAAAAATGAATAAATGTTTTCGTAGATTGATTTAACTGCCGTACAGTTTGATTGTCTTTTAACTTGAACCGCTGTCTTCGCCGCAAAAAAAACCAACTTAGTTAGGTTTGAACCCAAGAATACAACTTAACGTACTCCGGGGAGCGACTGTAGCCTACCTTCTACGATTGAAGGCGTTACACAACTTCAATTTCCTCTTGCGTTTCCGATTGCCTGACCGAACTTCTTTCGTTGCGAACCGTTTTGACTGCTTTTGAGATATGTGATGAACTCAATTTCGAGCATAGCACAGAATATTTTAAGATTGAATTTCGCATTATTGTCAATGAGTCGAAAATGTGTTGAATGAATTTCGAATTACGACCCGAGCTCGATACTTACACGGGAAACGTTTTGAACATCAAATCCACGAGAAGAGGTACCTGGTACATGTCTCGGAAGAATTTTGAGCTCGACGTTTCTGCCCTGACCCTACATTAAGATCGTAAACTTTAATATTAAGTTCTTGAAACCGAAAATCAGTGATTTGGTGCACAGAGGACGTACTAGAAATTCATAGAGAAATTCAATCCCAACCCCATCGGGTTATTTTAATTTTCCCCACGGCGGGAGATATGAATGGACAGATATTACAGTAAACAAAAACAAGCGCTAATCCTTCGCACCATGAGTTGATTTTTTTGTTGGAGATATTGGATGAGTCTACCACGTTCTGGGTTCTGCGTATCAGTTTAGTGATGAGTCACTTCTCGGAATGCTTGAATTTTTAACTTGTTCCTCATCCTACAACTGACTCAGACTGGCCGGAGTTTGACCAGCGTCACCACTTGGGAAGGTGAAACGAGAGTGACATGAGGATGAAGACTCATGAAGAGAAACAGAGAAACCAGCATCAGTCGTTCTGTTACGGCAACCGACCTTCCGGTCGTAAAAAGAACCGATCCCAAAAATCATAATATTTCATTTGGGACCTTACTGCCTCCCGCCGATGACGCCTTACTCATGTCGGAACCAGCCAGCCAATTTCATGCTTCACTAATACCACTTATACTGCCGTGCTGTGGAAGAACGCCGTATGAACATTCTAGAGTTTCCAAATTTCATTCAATAAAATGTTAATTTTTGAGAAGAATTATAAATATTTTTCCTTGTAATTTTCGGACGTTTTAGATCACGTTACAAACAAAATTACCTGAGAAATTGGTAGACAAACATTCAAAAATTCTCCTGAAAATGAGTGATTTGCCAGGGGAAATTTGGCAACGCCTGAAGGCTTATGCGGCGTTTTTCCTTAGCACGGCAGTATAGGAGATGGCGCCTATTTTCGAGACTTTATTGCTGGAACATCCTTCGGCTGAAAGATTGAAACAGTGGGAAACAACCGAAAACTATGTTCTCACCATAAAACTCGTTCGGAATACGCAAAGACAACAGCTTAATTTAAACTATCAGACTTTAGTCGAAACCTTTTCAATAAGCCAGTAAATTTTGGAACAATCTTCATTCGTTTAAAGGGAACAATAAAATTGAGATTTTGACGACGAAAACATTGACGATAAAGATGAAGGTCTAAGCAGGAAAAAATTAACTTGGAACGCTCGTTAAAAATTCTCTACCGAGACTCTTTTCCAGTGGAAGGTCTTGGGCGAAGAGTTGAGATCTGACAACACTCTCAAAATTGAGATGTAAGTACCACCGATGATATGAGTTCCCTACAAATAGTTTCAGCATAAATGCTCGGACCTGACAAACCGAACCATCCATGCTCTAAAATGTACATTCTTTTAAGTCTCTTAAGTAATGACAAAAATTGATAATTGTTTCTTCCTAATGCAGCTGAAGAAATAGATGGAAACAATAATAGATAAAACCGATTGCATTAGAAATCTAAGACCATCATGACATAATATGTCTTGAGATTTTAGGAATTGTTAACTTTTTAACGTTTTCGGACAGTGTAGCGTGATTTTCTTTAGAATTTGAGTGCTTAAGGAAATACTTGACGCGGGGCGAAATTGCAAAATTTGAGCTCTACGGATAAAGCGGGGCATCTACTTACATGGAACCATTAAAAAGTTCCAAAAGGGCAAGAAAATTGGTTTGAGGTTCCATTTTTGAAAAGTATAAGTAAAAGCAATTTCCCGACTTGTCCGGGGTTATTTTTATGAACCAATTAATATTTCGAGGGTTTCCCTAAATTATCAAAATCGTTTCACTCTGTGGAAAGAAGGATAGTCCAATTATTTCGCTTATCAAAACCTTTTCATTCCACAACACTTCTTGATTTTCTTGCGTTCAAATTCCCTCATTATCATTTCATGTCAGCAATTCTCACCAAATATGGTGTTTCTCTCTGATACCTGACCTCGCCGACAAAGTTAAGAAACACTGGTGCCTCGTTTTGGGAGACAAGAATGTTTCAGCTCAAATATGTTGGAGCGAAAACGCTAATAATATAAGTGAAAATTCCACACAACCTCCCTGCAATTTGGATTTTTGACGCACCTTGCAGAAATGAAAAATTCTAGCAGCATAAGTTTATTTATGATATTACTTAGTTTCAACACACGGCTACCAGCAAACAAATTGGAAAAGTACGTAAAAATATTCAGAATTTTTCGTTGAGGTCTGAGTAAATATCTACATGAGTCAAAGCGGAAAATGCACAGTAGATCTTCAAGTAGAGAATAAATATAACATATTATAAATAATGAGTGACAGTTTCGTGTATTGTAAAACACGGTTTCGATTATCCACTGTGCATAGAAATAGAATTATACTAACAAATAGGTTTTCGGAAAAACCAATACCAAATTACCATTTTTTACCCTGTTTTTATCTGATTAATCATAACAAAAATTAACATAAAAATAATTCATATAGAGAGATTATAAGTTCAAAATGATAATTCATCTCCTCATAAAAGATATCTAATTTTACCTACTTTCTTTTTTTGTAAATTTAAAGTAAATAATATTGTCCGAAAGATGATTTATTTTTGTGGGGTATGTTACGCAAATAAGAAATAATATCTGTAACAAAAAATGAGTAACTTAGTTACAAATTATTCATGTACAATTTTGGCGCGTCCTTAGCCAATAACGGCTCCCCGAGAAAAACCGGAGGAATTCGATAAACTTGGCAACGTCATAGGGAACTCACACAACCGTTCATCCTGACGGTTACTGATACGAAACTTTGTTTGCGTGGATGTCGATAAATTAAATTCCAGTGACGCAAAAGACATCGTTTCTATCCGTCCTCAAGACTAGCAACCGCGAGCTCAGCGAAAATACAAAAACGCACGGTGACGAGGTAAAACGCATCGCGATCGGTAGGAAACGATCGCCATCCATCCATCGCATCGGGGATTTGGAAAATAAAAAAAACCGCTGCAAGCAGCCAGCAAGCAAGCAGCTGTTTCGTAGCGCCAGCGTCGCTGCAACATGCACCGCGCTCCAGACAGCTGCGTTGCCAGACCGCCTTCTCGGAAACGTAAACAAACACGCATGATAACGATCTACTGATAAGAAGTTATCGAAAAACATAGGATAAAACAACGGCTCACTCTGCCGACGTAGCCGTCTTTTTCCCGAAGGGAACAGAATTATCTATTGCTGTGGAATTTAATCATGGCGACTTGACACCACAGCGGCAGCTGCATCGAAGAGAGGCAGATAATAAGTGAGCTACTGACTGCACGTAGACACGTGGACAGGAAAAACAACAGTTTAAAACAGAGCTGGCATCAACGTACCTCATAGCGGAAACAGCGCGATCCGACACGGTAAAAAATCCAAAAATCCAAGCGCACAAAACGGGCGATGCGTAAAGGTTCCAAATCCAAATCGACACCAAAACAACATCCAACTAGATCTCGACGAGCGGGCCGAAGAACACTTTCGGTAGCGCGGCCGAGACGAGATAAACAAACACAGACGGTCGACGAACACGCGCGCACACACTCACACAGCCGTGCACGACTTTCATCTTCGTCGTGCGAAAAACGAGATTATTCATTAATTAACCGACGCGAAATCAAGGTACGAACATGATTCGAATTCGAAGAGAAAACCGTCGGTGAGAAACTGAGCCACGTCGGGGACTGCGACTGGGATCGACGTGGAACCGGGACTGTTCGGTTTTCCGCTGAATGAACGCAGGGCCACTCCCAACCATTCATGAAAGGCGAAGGCCTCTTATCACTCGGCACTTGGCGACCGTTGGCGTTTCTGGAGAAAGGACACACGGGGATTTCACGGCAAACGTCACTCGAACACCGAACTGGTAGGGAATTATTTCCTGCGAGAAGGCTGCGATAGCTGGCGCGAACGGAAAGTAAACTGTGACTAAAATCCAAACAACGGACCGACGAGGCTTCCCCCACTCCGCGACATTGTTTTGTTCTCGCTTCTCCGCCACGCCGGAGCTGCGCGCGCATCCAGTGACGTCACGCCGGGCGTTGCCATAGGAACCCCGTTGCATAACATTTACGGCCGCGCCGCGCGCCGCGGTTGGCTTTATCAACCCGGGGTTTCGGCGGCGGAATAAGCCGGGGGAGGCGGCTAGGCGTGGTACGCCGGCCCCCGTTAATTGAATAAAAATAAATCGTTGGTGTAAATACGCGAGGGGCCGGATTAGCCCCCGGGACAATTTTTATAAAATTCTAGATCCGCCAAGGGTCCCCTGACTCAGGGCTCAGGGTGGTAAAATATCATGAAAAATAAAATCTTGAAATTCCGCGTGAAATATTTCGTGAAATTTCAGAAATTTGTGTGAGCTATCGAAAAATATCGGTTCCTTTCCTGTTGACTTAATTTTTCGATTTTAAACAAAACTTAAACGGGTATTATTTTCAAATTTTTGTGTGACAGCGATATGTAAATTTATCAAATATAAAATTACATAGATCGTGGATTGTCAAATGTATAGAGCAGATTCCTTCAGTTAGTTTAAACTACCGCCGAATTTTTAAAGTTTGAACATTTTCATTTACTACTTTGATAGGAGTTATTCTAAGAGGTATTTAATCGTAGTTCTTAATAGAAATTTCAATTATCTGATGATCGGAGCATCAGGCCAATAACACCTTCTGTTCTCTTTCTCCACTCCAAAAAGTTTCAAAATTTGATAAAATAACAACAGAATTTCACCACGGAAAATATACAGTAATCTTAAACCACCAAGTGCGACACACAAAAAAAAACAGAAAAAATCGGCCACCGATTCTCGCATTGAATGCGATGTCTTTAGTCCTTGAATCCAAATCCTGATTTTACTAATTCAAAATTTTACAATTCTTTTATCATCGCAAATGATTCTTCAAATTCATAAGTATAAGTATCATCGTTTCTTAGGAGCAGCAGAAAATAGCTCAGTTAGGTTCGAACCTAAGAATACAAATAAACGTACTCCACGGAGCGATTGTGGAATACCCTACACGATTGAAGGCGCATCACAACTTCGATTCTCTCTTTTGTTCACGATGACCAATAATTTTATTTTTCAGTAGAAATTTAAAGAAAGAATACAAAAAAAGCAAGAGAAAAGGTTACTATTTTCGTAAATTATTTAAACTAACGCACAGTTTGCTCATCTTTTGGCTTGAATCGCTGTCTTCGCTGCAGCAACCAACTTAGTTAGGTTTGAACCTAAGAATACAACTAAACGTACTCCAAGGTGCGATTGTGGCCTACCCTGCACGATTGAAGGCGCATCGCAACTTTGATTCTCTCTTTTGTTCACGATGACCAATGATTTTATTTTTCAGTAGAGATTGGAAAAAATTATACAAAAAAAGAAAAAGAGGAAAATAGATATTTTCGTAAATTATTTAAACTAACGAAAAGTTTGCTTATCTTTTAGGTTGAATCGCTGTCTTCGCCGCAGAAAACAACTTAGTTAGGTTCGAACCTAAGAATACAACTAAACGTACTCCGAGGAGCGATTGTGGCCTACCTTGCACAATTGAAGGCGCATCACAACTGCGAGTCTCTCTTTCATTCACGATGACCAATTATTATCTTCTTTTTCCACGGGAATTGATAGAAAGAATACGAAAAAGAAAAAGAAAGTTCATAGTTTCGTGAATTAATTCAACTACCGCACAGTTTCATTATCTTTTGGCTTGAACCGCTGTCTTCGCCGCAGAAAACAACTTAGTTAGGTTCGAACCTAAAAATACAACTAAACGTGCTCTACGGAGCGATTGTGGCCTACCTTGCACAATTGAAGGCGCATCACAACTGCGAGTGCCTCTTGTGTTTCCAATTACATGGCCTTATTCTTTTCGTTGCAACTCTTTAATCTGCTTTAGAGATTTTGGATGGACTCGATTACGAGTATTGCTTGAATCTCTCACAATTACATCTTTCCCTATGATATCAGCCGCACAGAAAATTTCTCGAATGCATTTTTCAAATTGTGATCCGAGACTTTTTATTTCCGGGGAAATGTATTGGTAAACGACCAAAATTAACGACTTGAATTAATAAAAAATAATTAATCATTGTAACGACGTAAATTAATAAAAAAAAATTAATCATTGAAAGTAATAATAAAGGATCGATTAGGTGATTCGACCTGAGCGGCGGTCGAACTGGCATACGATGTATCGTATCGATTACGAAAAGCATCTCCGCAAATTTTTACTTTCAAGCGCAAAAATTGGCGATAGCCCCTGCGCATGAATCGAAAGAATCATGGATTTTCCGTGGCTCTGAATGTGTGTAAACTTATTAGGCGTGGATTCTATTACGAAATACTCAGATCGAGCTTTCTAAAGAATGCACATAGGGCGTATTCGATACATCAAACGGGTGAGATTGTATCGACATCAATAGGTTTAAAACATAAACATAGCCTCAAAAGTCAATTGAGTAATCTGACGGAACGGGTTTTTTGTGATAGATTTTTGATATCTACATATGAGTGCTAATTGGCCAAGAGTAGGGAAATTGCTACGAAATTTCTTATTTTCAGCTTTTCTGATTAATATCCAAAAATTTTGGTTTGAGGTTATATTCAATTGTTTTGAACCAAACGATACGACGAACCACTATCGAATACGATCCATTACACCAGTTTTTTTGAAGGCATGTCTTTTGCAAATTTACGAGTTTCTTAACAGACTTTACGACAAGGTTACCAATACTTCAGTCTCGAGCCTTTCCGGAGTTTTGATTTGAAAACCACGTACACCTCCCTCCCACCCTCCGCATGAAACAAACATTCGTCTCCTTCGGACGGTTCTTGAACTTTCGAGGTATTTTTCCTAATTTCCGGCCTCATTTATCATACTGATCCGGTTATCATTCAGCGATTTCGGTGGAAAAACCTCGTGTTGTGTTCGCGAGATTCCGAGTAACACATCGCCGGCAGTACCTAGTCGTGCTTCACAACAAATCGATTTCTGTCATTTAAACATATACGAAAAAGGATCGATTGTCGGGTGTTGGCATCGAGCACCTTAATAATCGATCCTTCACCATAGGTTCAAATGATAATATCGATATATCGAGAAAAAATTCCGACGAGAAACCTGTTGGTGAAGATCAATCGGAATGCCATAAATAACACGGATAGAAAAACACGACGAAAAGGTCGTGTTTCGTAAGATTTTCGTGCTTAACGAGGTAAAGCTTGTTGGGAAACTTGGCGATTTATCGAGTAAAACTTTCCCCCCGCGGAACGAGATTTTCCGACGAGTTTTTCGCGCCGCAATTTTCGCGCCGAGGACCGTTTTGGCGCACGGGATAGGGCAACGAACTTGGGCTGCGGTCCCCTCTGTTTGAAATTCCCCTTGCTTCGCACTAAACTCACTGAGTATACAGTCCCTTTGTGAGAAGATAGGATAAATAGAGTCCATTTCTGATTGGTTCTCGTGCTTGAAGCTTTCACAGGGCCACGAAGGGTCACAAGGAATGCATTTTCCACGGTTGAAAAAGTATATGAACACTAAAAAAATTCCTTACATGTAATTTTGACTTTAAGCGTAGATCCTTTTCGATAAAATTTGGTTTTTTTGAGTTAAAAAAACGTCGATTTGTCATCGTTTATAACTTAAACTTAACTATAGCAAAACGACCTTCAAAAATCCTTAATTTCTAATATTTAAAAAAATAAACCTAACTTACAATTACGGCGCAGCGTTGTTTAATGTTTAAAGAACACCGGACATCGAAGAACACGTACCTGAAACAGAAATTCAAAGAAATTAGTTGAAGAAATTAGAAATTAGAAAAATACAAAATTTTCATTTATTAAACCATATCGAGTATTTCCTTGTCTCACACCTTCATTACTGCTTTCCTTGGAAAATTAGGTACCTACCGTTTCTTTAACCTTAAATAATAAAGGTACATTTGGTCTACATTTCGCAATCCGCATCTGCAATTTCTGGCTCATTCTCGGTTCAGAAACAACGCATGGACCATTAGTTTCCCTGTGTACATAAGTGTTTTTACAGATGAGCCAGAATTCGTAGTTCCTAATTGCAACATGAAGTTCATTTTGCGTATTATTTCACACTTTTGCACCGCCACCACTCTTCATTTTGTCCGGGTAATATTCGGCGGCGGCTTTCTAAAAATTCGTGACAGCGTTGCCATTTCAAACGAAAAAGCCTTGCTTTTGGGCGTGAAATCCGGTGGATTTTGCGGCGTCGCCGTAAATCCGCGATCGCGGGGCCGCATGGTGGATCAAGTTAATGGGAGAGGTCGGACATGAAATTTTTGACTAAAACTGCAAATTTTGATGTTTATTTCGTCAAATTTTCAATTTCAAGGGGTGCTTCCAAAAGCAAATTTCATAAGAAAACCTATGAAACCACTTATAGAACCTTAAAGTTATGTATGAACAGAGTGATAAGCGTTTAAAGTTTCCAAATTTTGTCCGACCTTTCCCATGGACTCGATCCACTTTGGGCCGCGGGCGAGCGTTGGATTCCGCGAAGTCGAAAACGGGATTCGGTTTTTGAGAAATTTCAGACGACTTTCTTTCAACTAGTCCAAACCGTAATGGCGCGTCTTCGTCGCTGTGAATGTGTGCCCGAGAAACGGTTCAAAAGACGGATTTCGTTTCTTTTGCGTCAGAGCCTCCGTTTTATGCTGTGCTCGGGAAAGGGCACAAGGCCGCTGAATTTTGAGTGTTCCGCCCGTAACCGTTGAGTGTTGAGGTAAGCGGAGCGATTAAGTTCAACGCCCGTTTTTTTCCTATCAGAGTAGCATTAAATGGACTGAGTTAAGCAGAAAGGAACCAACCCACATTTTGGAAAAAATTGAGTTATGAGTGGTTTTGAACTCAACCACTGCTCTACTATCCATCACCAAAAATTCGAAGTTTTTGTTGGAGCAA